ATGCCAGTATAAGAAAACCATTAGCTTAGACACAAATAAAATCAGAGTTACTTGTTTGACATGGCCATTTGTCTGCTGTGCCCAGTCACTGCTGTATTTAGTTGTGTGTAAAAGGCACTTGAGTGTCGTATGTACTGCCGTCTTCCCAAACATTTCTACTTCATGGGAATCATTGAGGCAGTGGGTAGCCTGGTAGTTTAAACGTTCACTCGATCCCGACATGGGTACAATGTGTGAAGCCCATTTCTGGTGTCCCCTGCCGTGATTTTGTTGGGATATTGCTAAATATCATACTAAAATACATACATACATATCGGCATAAAACCATACTCTCACTCACTCACTCACTCACTCACTCACTCACGCACGCACGCACGCACGCACTCACTCACTCACTCACTCACTCACAATACATGGAGATGATTTTGCAACATTTTCTACAGTTCTGAAGACGTTCTGTAAGAGAAACTTATCCATATTGGAAAAAAATAATTTGACATTGGGTTTCACCTCCAAAATATTTTGTTCAGAGACATGCTAGATGTCCTGAAAAATAATTGCTGTGAAAAGTACAGAACAAATTGTTTGACTCCTTTTTACAGAAATTGTGTGTTTAGAAGCAGTGACCGAGTTGTTTCTCTCTCCCACCAAAATACTACCTACATTACCTGTACATTACCTGTACATTATCTGTACATTAAATGGTGGTCCTCCCCTTGGAAGGCTGAATGTCCTGGATGCATCCAGTACGTGTTTCTCTCCTGTGTCAGGAAATACTTCATTGACAAAAACCAGTAAGCTCGATGTAAACAGCGAATAGTTGAGATTGTGATACCACACCCTCCCTTGGACTGCTACCAGAGCTGATTAAATACATCAGAAAGGGTTAAGCCAATTAAACTGGATTGGTTAGTGTTAAACAGGCCGAGTCTCTAACATGTATGTGTTCCAAGATACAGTGCACTACAGCCAAATTAAACACCAAAGGGAGTGCACATCTTCAATTTCACTTGTTCATCCTGTAGTTTGTCACAGTACCGTATTCGCCGTAATAAGTAGCCTGGGTGATTAGAAAATTTAGGCACTTATAAAACCATATACAATGAGTTTATTTTGTTTTCAGTTTGTGGTAAAAGTTTGTTACCATGGTCAATAGGCACATTATAATACTGTATTCGACGTAATAAGCACCCCACTCTAATAAGCGCCCACAGCAATATTTGCTAATATATTGGCAAGTGAACAATCCCAATTAGCCCCCCTTCCGATTTATCAATGTACACAAGACTAATTTATTCGTGTATAATACGCACTCGTGTGTTATATGCACCCTTAATTATGGGCAATTAAATTCTTGAAAAATGTATCTGTCGTATATAAACAGTTCAGACTGTCAGCATAAACCACGAAATTTATCTTTCAACTCTGTTTTTTTCCACCAAAGTAATATTCTAATAAGAGCCCCCTATTTCTAATTTTTAGAGCGCCCTGGGCGCTTATTACGTCGAATACGGTACCTCTCGTAAAATGTTTTCTGTGAAAGAAAAAAAACATCTGTAATTTACAAGAAAAGATTCACAAACATGTTAGGTCTAAGTAAAAAATATAGATTACTTACAGATTGGTCAAAGAGTTGGTGAGGGGGTGCTTGTTGGAGCGGTATTAAATGCTGTAATAAGTTAGGAATTCTCAATCATCCCACATTTCAAATATGCCGGTGAACCAATTTTGTCAGAATACTTTGTTCTTTGATTCATAGTGCTTGCTCGCATATTTTAGCCCATGAGTCACAATTTCCTTGAATCTGTATGTTCTTATTCACATCAAAGCTTTTCTTTAAACATGGAAGACGAGAGGGAAATGAAAGTGTATGATATTGTTGAATTAAATCTTAATAACAATTTTGTTTTAGCAGGTATATTGTATGAACACCCAATGCCATTAAGAAAGTGGTCATATGTAACAAATGTTATACTTGGGATAACACTTTCTTGGTAAAGTACAAATTCTCAGAACTTTTTTGGGTTGAGTACGAGAATCTGTACTGTACCAAGAAAGTATTATCCCAAATATAACATTTGTTAGGTATATTGTACTTTACATATTGGTCTGACAAACAAAATGTATGACTTTTTTTTATCAAATCTCAAAAACAAATTATTTCTTTTCGACATATATATTCATTATGCTCCAAAAGTAGACTTGTCAATCAGATTGTTTGAAATTCTATCAAATGTTCACAACTCATTTATCTTTCACAAATTCACAACGGTATCCAGTTTCTGACACTTGTTTTTGTAATTCCCTGTCGTTAGCAGTGTAAATTGAACACTTTATTGAACTGGAGCTGATGTTGAAGTGAAAGGCGATACTGCCTTGCTTGCCATTCCGCATCCTGATTAACCCACCACATGTCTGCCCCACTGTCACATGTCAAACAGCAGAGCTCTCCTGGAACTAGTATTTACTGGCTACTGATGTTAGAAATAGTAGTTTGGAAACATTTACCAGCCACAGAGGTTAGAACTAGTTATTAGGAAACGTTTACTGGCCAATGAGGTCAGATTAAGTGGTTAGGAAATATTTTCCAGCCACAGATTAGAAATAGTGGTTAGGGAACATTTTCAAGCCACTGAGATTAGAACTAGTGGTTAGGAAATATTTACCAGCCACTGAGATTAGAACTAGTGGTTAGGAAACATTTACCAGCAACAGAGATTAGAACTAGTGGTTAGGAAACATTTTCAAGCCACAGAGATTGGAACTAGTGGTTTGGAAACATTTACCAGCCACATAGGTTAGTACTAGTTATTAGGAAACGTTTACTGGCCAATGAGGTTAGATTAAGTGGTTAGGAAACATTTTCAAGCCACTTAGATTAGAAGGTTAGGAGACATTTTCAAGCAACTGAGGTTAGAACTAGTGGTTTGGAAACATTTACCAGCCACAGAGGTTAGAACTATGTGCCTACACGAACACCCAACTTGAATGTGTTCTATCTCTTAACCTAATTGTTCTTGTAAACTTATAAAAACTATCCGTATGAGAAAACAATTTAGAAATGCACATTTTGTGGCATGTTCTCTGTCCAAGTGTTGTCACACAGTTCACCAGCCCGTGAAGATCCGGGGTAGAATAAGTCTTCAGCGACCCATGCTTGCTGTAAAAGGCGACTAACGGGATCGGGTGGTCAGGCTTGCTGACTTGGTTGATGCATGTCATCGTAATTGCGTGGATCGATGTTCATAATGTCAATTACTAGATTGTCTGGTCTAGACTCAAACAAACATGCTCATGATGTCAATCGACCGATGCTCATGATGTTAATCACTGGATTGTCTGGTCCAGATTTAATTATTTACAAACAGCCATCATATAGCTGGAATATGGCTGAGTGCAGCATTAAACAACAAACCAACAATCAAACACACAGTTCACTTCTGGACTGTCCTTTCTAAAAATACTTTCATTGATTTCCTGTTTGAAATGGACAATTTAGTTTCCAAATGCTAAAATTGGTATGATCCTGTTCTAAAACCTCTAACATGTTGTCACTAGTGACCTTAAGGTCAAAGTAACATCCGTGACAGTACTGATGTGTTCTGTAATTTTCTTGTCATATACACCGATAATAAAGAACAATTGTGGTGTCGTCTATCATAACAGAATAATGATGGTAATTGAATTCACATTGACGATGATGTAGTTGATGATGAGCGTTATGAGGGTCATAAGTGTTGATGGTGGCTGTTTTAGTGTGGAACTGAATGGTGATGTTATTGTGATGAATTATAATGAGATGGCGTATGTATTTTCTGCTGCTGCTGATGGTGATGATGATAACGAATATGTTCTGTTGATAGAGTTGCTCCTGCTGCTGTTGATGATGATGATGATAGTGATGATGATGATAGTGATAATGATGATAGTGGTTGTGAGCATTGTGGTGATGATGAGAGTGGCGACGGTGATGATGATGATGATGGTGACGATGATGGTGATGATGATGGTGACGATGATAGTGATGATGATGATAGTGTTGATAGTGGTTGTGAGCATTGTGGTGATGATGAGAGTGGCGACGGTGATGATGATGGTGACGATGATAGTGATGATGATGATGATGATGATGATGGTGACGATGATAGGGAGATGTTGATAGTGTTGATAGTGGTTGTGAGCATTGTGGTGATGATGAGAGTGGCGACGGTGATGATGATGATGATGGTGACGATGATAGTGATGATGATGATGATAGTGTTGATAGTGGTTGTGAGCATTGTGGTGATGATGAGAGTGGCGACGGTGATGATGATGATGATGATGATGATGATGATGAGGGTGACGATGACAATGGTGATGGTGATTGGTGGTTTTGTGATGGTGATGTTTCATATTAATATTGATGTCCATTCGTCACCACTCACCCCTTTCCGTAACCTGCAAGAAGACTTGTCCCCCTATCGATGAATGTTATGTGCGAAAATACAACAAACCAATCAGAATGCTCGTATGATTTCAAGTTCTTCGTCAAAGAATCCCTCAGAAATAATTTTTGATTTTACATATGTCTTGCATCTAAAAAAATATACCCAAGACACAGTTAAATGTGTTCAATCATACCGAATAATTTCGCATGTCCCGATGTGCTTTAAATTGTATCTGAAACATATATAATATATGGGGAAAGATGTGTGAACCATTACGCAACGAGTTGACAAATGTTTTAGGTATGCCCGTTTGCGCTAAGACGGAGCCAGGTCGCAAAAATGGCCATGAGAGGGGCACGAGTCGCTATTCGGCTTGTCCTGGAATAACATAAGTTGGTCACGAATGATTGATGTCCTGCTACAGTTGATAGTGTGTTGTTGATGGTGGATTGTAAAAATATCAAGAAATAGTGGTGACAGAGATGCTTTAATAACATTATCGTAATATACAAAAGTATAATAATAAAATGGGAGCAATGAATTCTTACCTGACTTTTCTTTACATTTCAGAATTATACATGAAAAGGGGTACTCACAAGAAGAATGTTTGCAGTACAAGCCAGTGGTGTACAGCAACACAATTCAGTCTATGATCGCCATCATCCGCGCAATGGGTCAGCTCAAGATAGACTTCGGACACCCAGACCGGGCGGTGAGTGTGGTACTATTGATGTAACGTGTTTTGTTTGTTTGTTTGTTTAACGCCGCACTCAGCAATATTCCAGCTATATGATGGCAGTCTGTAAATAATTAAGTCTGGACCAGACAATCCAGTGATTTAATTTGTGAACATCGATCGACGCAATTGGGGTAGGATGACATGCGAGTCTGACCATCCGATTGCATAAGTCGCCTCTTTCGACAAGATAGTCACCTTTTACGGCAAGCATGGGTTGCTGAAGACTTCTACTCAGGATTTTTACAGGTATTGAAACCAGTAAACACTTGATGTATTTATGGGACTATAAATCCTACAATTTCTGTTGTGTGGTATCCAACTGGAATGAGTCCAACTTGCTCTGCAGACTTGCGACCGTCAGTCCGGTCATGTTCTGCAGATCATGGGTTCCAGTCCAAGATTATTACATAATTATTAAATATTGTAAACTTTTGTGTGTCACCAAAGCGGTATACAAGAAAGACTCCAGGTTTCAATTGATCTTCAGCAATCCATGCTTGTTGTAAACGGCGACTAATAGGATTGGATGGTCAGAGTCGACTTAGTTTTATTACGCATCATCGTTTACCGATAGCATGGATTGTTGCTCACAATATCAGTCACTGGATTTTCTAGTTTAAAATTAATCATGGAAGTCAAAGGGTCTTTGTCATGACCCAAAAGTGAAGCACTATGCGCTCTTTTTTTAAAAGCAATAAAAATATTTTGTTTTAGGAAATACAAATATTCTAATTCTGAGTAATAGCAAGCACGATTGACATATCTGTATTATCTAGATAAACTAAAATACCACTCTACTGGGGCCCTGTTCCACAAAGGCAGTACGACTGTGATGTCTCCCATTGCATAACACAGTATAACAACATTCGTAGAATTACGATTGCTTAATGAAACGGGGCCCTGGACTCAATTTTGAAGACGTCCTCCGTGGTCAAGTGATGGAGTGTCTGCCCAGAGAGTAGAAGATTGGGGGTTCGATCGCCGACCGCTTCATACAAGAGATGTTGAATGATGTTACTTGTTGTTACCATGCCTTGAACTTGGCATTAAGAGGCTAAAACAAGGACTGGTCGGCTCGGAGTCAGTATACTGTGTCTGAGTGAGGTATTCATGTTAAACTGTGGCATGGTATCTCACTCGCTAGCACTATAAAAGTGGCTTTAGGCCGGACTAGTACAAGCAGCCATGCACACTCCATTTCACCTCAATTTTAAAGACCCCTGTCTGTTTTACCTGAAATCTTGCCTATTATGTCATGTAGCCTGCATGTGTTTAGACCTTAACAATCAAGTATTGTCTGTTTGTGTACCTGTAAAAGATTATAGTAAGATGACGTCACCATTCTAATCCGAGGTTAAGGTCAGGGGTTGGGATGTTGACATTTCCATGTGTCGAAGGTTTACTCGTGGCCCGTGGCACCGATCCACAGCTGATCTGGTTTACCTTACGCAGAGAGTGCCTGGAGAGTGCCTCGGCCCCAAGGGTTATACCTAATCCCTCTCTAATCCAGGCTGTGCTTGTGGTGTCAAGGCAAGCGGCGGTCACGTCACGGTTTCAGCGCACTTTTCCTCAGCTCATCTGTGCACACACGCACATGTTTTCCAACTTGGTTGTCACAAATCCTAAGTCATCGTATATGTTAAATATGCCCTTCGGTGGGTTTTCTCTGTTGACTTATTTTGTGTTTCTCTCAAATGTTTGATGATGATATTGTTCACCAAAACATGTTTGGTTACCATAGTAACTTAAATGCAACTATGCACAGTACATTCTATTCATCTGTAAGATACATGTGCAGATTTGGTTCTAGCTGTCTATTGCTTGACGTATGGAGTGATTGAAATGGAGAGGATTGAAACTTTTAATGAACAGCTTGGTTGTTGTTTTGATGTCTTTCTCCTGTGTGTATTGTCCCCAGTACCTCATGTTTTTCTCCCTGTGGAGATCTCAGGACAGAAAGGTTCCAGTGTGTTTGTGGGGGGGGGGGGGGTTGTATTCATAGACACCTTTCTTCAATCTTCAACATATTTTACAGAATAAAACAGTTGTTAAATTATAGTTATGAAATATAATAAAAAGAAGCCCAGAGACTTTCTTCATTTTCAGATACTGATATTGCACTAATCTAGACTTGCCAGACAATATAGCCTTGCATGGGCTGTATTGGATATATTTGTATACTGCAGTAATCTAGACTTGCCAGACAATATAGCCTTGCATAGGCTGTATTGGATATATTTGTATACTGCAGTAATCTAGACTTGTCGGACAATATAGACTTGCATGGGCTGTATTGGATATATTTATATACTGCAGTAATCTAGACTTGCCAGACAATATAGCCTTGCATGGGCTGTATTGGATATATTTGTATACTGCAGTAATCTAGACTTGCCAGACAATATAGCCTTGCATGGGCTGTATTGGATATATTTGTATACTGCAGTAATCTAGACTTGCCAGACAATATAGCCTTGCATGGGCTGTATTGGATATATTTGTATACTGCAGTAATCTAGACTTGCCAGACAATATAGACTTGCATGGGCTGTATTGGATATATTTATATACTGCAGAAATCTAGACTTGTCAGACAATATAGCCTTGCATGGGCTGTATTGGATATATTTGTATACTGTAGTAATCTAGACTTGTCAGACAATATAGCCTTGCAAGGGCTGTATTGGATATATTTGTATACTGCAGTAATCTAGACTTGCCAGACAATATAGACTTGCATGGGCTGTATTGGATATATTTGTTGCAGGGTCTGTATTTCAGGCTAGGGGTGGGATGATGCTGGGAGATGAGCCTATGTCAGCCTATTATGGTTGTATATCTAATATAAGTAAGTTTGGGGAGAATTACAAGTTGTTCTTATTTTCCGTTGCGTGGAGACTAATAGAGTCATGGCAGTGGCTATCTCTTGATACACAGCCACACATCACATTACTGGTCAATGCCAGGAAGTAACCACGGAAGGAAACTGTACACTTATCGTATTACCTATTCATATCTTATACATCAATATCATCTTCATCTTCAATTTCATCTGGTCAGCATTGTTCAGTTGCCATGCCAACGGAGACCATGGAGAATTTGACATTATGACACCGGCCTCAATATGTTTGTACATCAGCACTGATGACCGTGATGTCGGCTGCGGCATGAGCAGGAGGAGGCGAGAGGCGGTGTGCTGCCATCTCGTTACTTGCTCATGGGGCGATTAAGATCCTAGTTTAGAGAGCATTATCTCATGACAGGAAATTGTACCTTGTGTAATGGGAGTATTGATCACTTTCACGATACGTACATCAGGCTGATATGGAAATCAAAAGAAGGAGATTAAGAGGGCCGCAGCTTTTATGTAAATTGAGACTTGGTTGGTATTTGGGCACTGACAAATATCTTAGGAAGGAGGAGTGGTTGTGAGAGGGAAATTTCAAAATGCCTTGTTAGCAATGGTAACTTGAGGATGAGAATGAGACGAAATGGGTGCTTGTTCCTACTAGATGTTATAATTTCCCATGATCCTGTACCCAGCTTGTCTTGACCTTAGAATCAGCTCTGACCTGTTTGTTTCGTCACCATCAGCTGTTTAGGTGTAAATGTGTGTGGATCATTGCTCACAATATCAATCACTGGACTGTCTGTTACAGACTCAATTATTTACAGACCGTTGTCATTTAGCTGGAATATGGAGTGTGGGTTAAACAACAAAGAAACTAATATGTCAACAACAAAGAAACTAATATGTCAACAACAAAGAAACTAATATGTCAACAACAAAGAAACTAATATGTCAACAACAAAGAAACTAATATGTAACAACAAAGAAACTAATATGTCAACAACAAAGAAACTAATATGTCAACAACATAGAAACTAATATGTCAACAACATAGAAACTAATATGTCAACAACAAAGACACTAATATGTCAACAACAAAGACACTAATATGTCAACAACAAAGACACTAATATGTCAACAACAAAGAAACTAATATGTCAACAACAAAGAAACTAATATGTCAACAACAAAGACACTAATATGTCAACAACAAAGACACTAATATGTCAACAACAAAGAAACTAATATGTCAACAACAAAGAAACTAATACGTCAACAACAAAGACACTAATATGTCAACAACAAAGACACTAATATGTCAACAACAAAGACACTAATATGTCAACAACAAAGACACTAATATGTCAACAACAAAGAAACAACAAAGAAACTAATATGTCAACAACAAAGACACTAATATGTCAACAACAAAGACACTAATATGTCAACAACAAAGAAACAACAAAGAAACTAATATGTCAACAACAAAGACACTAATATGTCAACAACAAAGACACTAATATGTCAACAACAAAGACACTAATATGTCAACAACAAAGACACTAATATGTCAACAACAAAGACACTAATATGTCAACAACAAAGAAACTAATATGTCAACAACAAAGAAACTAATATGTCAACAACAAAGACACTAATATGTCAACAACAAAGAAACTAATATGTCAACAACAAAGAAACAACAAAGAAACTAATATGTCAACAACAAAGAAACTAATATGTCAACAACAAAGAAACTAATATGTCAACAACAAAGAAACAACAAAGAAACTAATATGTCACCAAAAAAGAAACTAATATGTAAACAACAAAGACACTAATATGTCAACAACAAAGACACTAATATGTCAACAACAAAGACACTAATATGTCAACAACAAAGAAACTAATATGTCAACAACAAAGACACTAATATGTCAACAACAAAGAAACTAATATGTCAACAACAAAGAAACAACAAAGAAACTAATATGTCAACAACAAAGAAACTAATATGTAAACAACAAAGACACTAATATGTCAACAACAAAGACACTAATATGTCAACAACAAAGAAACTAATATGTCAACAACAAAGACACTAATATGTCAACAACAAAGA